AAAAAAAAACCACCACGTCTCTGACCTCGCTCAAAAGGAGAGAGGGGGCAGTGTTTTCTGACTGCTTGGTCAACAACCTACAAAACGGGGTTGCGGGATGAAACAGAGTAACAGTGCGGCCCGCCCAGGGCTCTGCGAGCCCTCGGCATCCCCGGAACCGGTGGGAAGGGTGGCCGCCCGTGAACTTCACCTCGCCGCGCAGCAGACCGCCGCGTGGTCAGAGGCGAGCCAGCCGGGCGGAATGGGACGACGCTGCCCTCCTGGCACCCGGCACCCCAAACGAGCACATTCTCCAACCCGGAGTTCGGTGTTCTCCCTGTGGCTTTGGACCCCTCTCCCACCAACTTAACGCTATTCGTTTGCTGGGTTCTAAAGCAAGTTTATTGGTACATCCGAACCTGCAAATGACGTACAGCTGTCAATTCCTAAAAAGGCACCTCTGAGACCGCATTTTCAGAGTTTTTGCAGCATCCCAGCAGCCCAATTTCCGTATAAATATTTTAACAAACATTTCACGCACGTTTTTTTTCCTGAACTTACATTTTACTAAACTTTATAAAAACGAAAACCTTTGTTCACCTTTATTGATCACAACTGAACAATAGAATCTTTATAGATTGCAAAGTTCCTAACAGGCCAAGTGGATGCATTTATTTATGGCCTTTGAAAAAATATTATATCAACCAACAAAAACCGGCGGGGGGGGGGGTTGAACAAAAAAAAAAAAGGAAAGAAAGAAAGGGAGGGATGGGGGGAGGAGATGGGCTGACTTGAGCTTGCCAAATTCAGAGCATCACAGGAAAGGAGGGCCTCTGGGAATTGATCCCAAATGAAACTAAATCATTTGCATATGCCGAAGCAAATGCCACCCGAGCATACATCTACTCTCAAGAATCAACTTTAATAATTCAAAGCACCTATTTCCTTACAACTCAACATGGTAACAAAACACATACAGTATTAATAAACAAGGAGGGATCCTGGTGGTTCTGAAGAGCAAAGCCTTGGCTAATGGTGGAAAGTTTCCCCCACACTCTAAAATAAACACACACCCCATACACATACACACACACACACACACACACACACACTGAAGGCCCAGAGGTTTGTCTAACTCACTTGCTCTGCATTTATTCGGAAGGTCCCCAGAGGTTTGTGTAAACAGTACTTGAATTATAATCACACATTTCATTCAAATTTCATGCTTTGAGGATTTTTTCCTCATTAGAACAGTTAGTTGTCAATCTGACAGGATCACATTTGTAACCTTTAAACCACCCTTGGTGCTTAACACACAAGGCCAGGGGACCTACCTACCAGAGGACAGGATGTAAAAACTACTACTTAGAAAGCCGCTGGAATTTAAAGAGAAGTGGGGTTTTGTCGTTGTTGTTCCTTTGTTGTTGTTTTTTTTTTCCCTTATTCAGAAGGCAGTTTCTAGATCCTATCCAACTTTTCATGGACAGACTACCCATAAAGACTATGTAACTCTTCTGGATAAATAATCATTCTGCTTCATCTACATTAAACACCTCTTCTTACATATTTTGCAAACACATAAATGCCTTTCTATCCATTATATAAGTAAAACTGTCATAGTTTAATGGGCCATAATTCATATTTTTTAAATTAAAACTCTCTACCTTACAAATGCAAATAATGTAACTTAATTCTATGCACCCTCATATTATACGGAAATAAAAAATAAAATTAAAGCTCTCATTTCTTTTAATGTATTGCTAATGGGTGCACACATAAATATTCTTAATCTGATGAGGTAAAATTGACTTTTAAACCCTGACGATTCAGCATATGAGACTGAAAAAATAAAAATAAAAAAGGGAGGAGTAGAATATTAAGCTTCCGGGCCTCATGACCAAATGAAAAAAGAGTCTAAAATTTCAAAAGCACAAATGTACAATGATTAATAAAGATACAGTGCTTTGAAAGGTGATCTGTGAATTATAACCAGTGAGACACTGCACGCATTATCATCTAGTGATGTTTGGTTTTGGTTTGCTGACCTTGGAGTACATTTCAATCACAGAAATCAAGTCAGTGGCTTGTCAACTGAGACAGTTCTGCGATCTCAGCCTTTGAAGTTTTCTTTGTGACAGAAATATCAACCATGATAAATTTTGAGTGTGATGCGTGGGGAGTCAGAACAGAAGTATAAGAACAACTGAAGCTATATGCATAAACCTATGTGTTTCAGAGTAATTTTTTAAAAAGTCTTCATCTCAGCCAATTTTTAAGGGACCCTATAGTAGCCTACTGCACATCTCACGGACATAGTTTGCACATTGGCACGTGATTGATCCAGTTACCTAACTAGCAGTAGCTAGGGGAAGAGAATGATGGTTAGTGGCAGGAAACTGAAAGCCACCAATCTCTTTGGTGCTCAGCTAAAAAGCACCACTGAGGACCCTGGGAGCAGGCCCTGGAGTCAGTTGTTTTTCTGGGGAAAAAAAATTTTAGCAGTAGAATAGATTGTTTAAAAGTATTAAGCATTTAAAAGACATCCACATATTCTTATTTTCTTCTCCAATCTAATTTATAGGTCTTTTGTGATTTTCCAGATAGCCCTTGACAGATACATTTGAGGTGAAGTAGAACTGGTGACATATATCTACAGCTGTCACAAGAAATTGGGGGGTGTTTGACCTGAAATTACCTACATGTTGATATAGAATCACTTATGAGGTAGACAGTCAATAAAAACTAGATGAGAGTATATTGCATTAAAAACCAGTAAATATTCAAAATCTATACCACTTGAGTAAGAGCCCTGGATGTCACATACAATTATTTCATGCTTCCCATCTTTGGGTTAAGTCCCATTTTGGGACGTGTGGAAGATTCAGAGACATATCAACATTTTTCCTTTTCTCAGAGGCCTGAGCAAGTGGCTGAAGACAAAATACGACTAAAGAATATTATTTTAATTGTGAAGTAGGAGCAGTCGTGTATATATTAAACTAGGAGACAACAAAATATTTCTTAGAGGGTGAAGAACTGAACTATTCACTCCCACCTACAGGTCTCACATGATTCTACCTTTTTTTCCTGAATAACTGCAACATTACAAGGTTACTACAAAGTCCAAATGAACCTAATAACACACACACACAGACCCTGCCCTACAAAGTGTGGAGAATAAGACAGGTGACTCAATTATGAGCTGAATGAACTGATAACAGGCACACAAGAAAATGCCATCACTCCCACCACCACCCCAAGGTAGAACTTGGTAGAACTTGAACTTCATGTTTCTGTTTCAGTTGCTGAACACCTGTGGGGTGTGTGTGTGTGTTTCCCCAGATAACGCTTGCTTCACAATCCTAATTCCTTTGGGCCAGTATGGCTGAATTACCTGAACAGAATATGCTAAGAAAAACAGTGATGTTCAATGATTACATAACCTGAACAAGCAAGGCTATTAATAACTACCTTAGGTAAATATCTACTCTAGCCAAAACCATTTGCTAATACAATAGTTCCTAATACATGGCCAGCATAGTGATGTATAATTTCAAGAACATACAACTGCTTCCACCTGGGTAATCTTTCTAAGTGGTACACTGTGACAGGTGTTATCACTTCCACTTTAAAGACAGGGAATTAAGGCTCGTAGATCAGTGGCATTTCATAGACCACAAAACTACTAAGACAGTGGCATCAGGATGTCTGCAAAGTTATGAAACCAGAGGGCTTAAACTTGAGGTTCGGGAATCGGTGTGAGAATTACATCCTTGGTACTCTCCAGCAGTGTGGCTCTGGCCAAGTCGCATCCCAGGTCTGAGTTTCAGTTCCTTCCTCTACTTAACATACATACTTCTTCTGAGGCTTCCCTGGGAGGGCACCTAGTTCAGCATGTCAGCCACATGCTATAAATCAGAGTGCATTTCCTTGGGTTTCCTCTGCTGCTTCCTCTATTCAAGAGTGCTTTAAAAAGCAGCAGGAAAACAATCTCCACCCCAAAACAGACTTAGGTAACAGAAGTCCGCTAAAATGGAAAAAAGAAGTACCAAGACATAGCACCAGGCTAAACTCTTCACTACCAAGCGAAATCATCCAATCACAAATATTTTTGGAGTACCTACTACTACGAGCCTGAGCAGTTTTACACATACAGATTGATACTTAAAATTGTAATTTCTGTCGATGTTTTAGTATCCAAATCAATGATCTCCTATTTCAACAGAGATGAATACTAAATACTGCCAAGTAAGGGAAGGGAGGTTACGTAAGCTACCCTTATCCATTGAAAAAAAGGAGGTATTACCGAGTATAGTTTATTCAGAAGCTGAACTAACTGGTGTCTTTTGCTCTCCAGTAGGAGTCACTATAAACAACAAAAAAAGATAAGCTGAATTAAGGTTTGTATTTAGCTAGTAAATGCAGATGTATGTACTGTTATAAAAATTTTTAATAAATGGGGATGAATGTTTAACATTGAACTTAAACCATAATTACAAAAATTCCTCTGAAATATGAGTACTACTTGATAAAAGATTATAAACAGGAGATGCACACTCCCACATTGTAAGAAGGATTTATTCTGATGACCGTAACTTGAGACAGCCTTGCAATTTCACAGAGAACACTAACAAACTTCCTGTGTGTATATTGTATTTGTCCTTATACTGAGATCTTCAGAATGTAAAATGACCATGTTCTCTTAATAAGCAATCATGATCCTTAAAAATTTATCTCAACTAGAATCGTAATTATTCTAAACTTTTTTCAATATATACTTATTTATATTTATCTGAGAAAATATTTATCTCAGATAAATACGAAAAGTAAATCCATATTACATTAAAAATTCAGGTAAAGCACAAAATCATGTCATTTTATCAGTGGTATAAAATTATTCTCCTGATGTCATTTAGATAGTATCAGGTAAAATAGTTTTAAGTATTTGCATGGTTCAAATATAGGCGATTCTAGTTTGGAAGATGCTTTTATCATAGAAAAGCATCCAATTATCAGCACAG